CCTGGTCTTGTTGCTCTGAGGAAGCCAGGTCTCAATAAGCAGATTTACAGCATTTCTGCTACTTCATGCATCACCCTGGCCTGGGATTTTCCTGCTCTGAAAGCAGAGACAGGGACCTGTGTGAAGGGTGGGTTGACGTGGATCATGTCTGATGTACACAGCAAGTTAATCCCAATATCCTGCTGGTAACTTGAACGAGCTCAAGAGACTGCCATTTTCTGTTATATCTCATCAGGTGAGTGCAATCCATTATTGTCCTGCTGCTCCTTAGGAAATGGGAGGACAGGAGCAAGACAAAACCCATTCCTGTGCTCTCAGGAGCTTCCAGCTCCAGGGTCAGCAGAGGCACACAAGGGCGGCTGCGTGTGAGCCACGTGAGCTGCTTGTAATTCTGGCTCCTTCTCTTACGTGATGGTGTGGCTCCAGCTATAAAAAAATTATTCCTGCCTCTGGGCACTGTCTCCTGGATAAAGCAGGTGTGTCTTGCTGCACTGAGCTGGGGAGGGAGGCCAGGAAGTGAGGGATGGATGGATGGCAAGCTGCAGGATCCCCCCTGTGGTGGAGGGAGAGACCTGTGCACACCCTCTAACATCTGCCTTCTCTATATCAGTATGGGCCAGCCCCTGCACTCAGAAGGGCAGAGCCTTAGGATATGGACCTGATGAGATTTCCAGGTAGTGCTGGGATTCTCCACACACCACTTTAGTGGGGTTTGTGTGGCCCAGAAGTCACAATGTGCTGTAATAGATGGGTGGGCATCTGGCAAACATGACTACACACTCACTTACTGGAAATAGGTGCTGGTGACCACTTGAGAAAAAGAAAAATCAAGCCTGTGGTAATGGCTGAGCATTTCTGACCTTTGCTCTAACATTTCAAATTTTTTTTATAGCTTCTAATAAGCCTTGCTTTGGAGCATGCACATTATCTCACTGTCAGGGCACTGGCTGTCATTATCTGCTGGGTCATTTGGTTTGTGTTCTTTACGATTGAAACTTGTCAGGCATTCTCAGAAAATACTGCGCTCCCCTTGCAGAGTCAAACATGGAGCTGGTTAATTGTGCATCCCTGAGAGTGAAGCATTGGGACTGATCAGGCATTGATTGTTTAGCTGAGATGGACGCAATGGAAACGTGTCTCCTCTGTATGGAAGGGAAGGTGTAAAAATTAGATCAGCAGCAACACAACAGCAGCCAGATTTCTTAGTTTCAGGGATCAGAGGTTACCTATTTTCCAGCCTTGATGACTCATTTTTGATCCCACTCACATGTCTTAGATATCTTTATTTTTACCTCCCTTTGCAATTTAAACACCAATTCTCTTCTATTTTGACTTTCTTTAATACATCAGCTGCAAAGTCACTGGTTCAAATCTCCCCACCTTGCCTCGCTTCACGAGATGGAAACAAAAGTCAAGAAATACGTGTGTGAAAGAGCTCAAAATGCCACAGCAGCACAAATGTGCCCCCACTGGTGGCTCTGTAAACCTCAACTCATCCAAAACATCAGCCCAGTTTGTAAGTCTGCTAATTCATTTTAAGGCCTTTAAGATTTGGTAACAATTAGAGATCCAGGTGTTGTTATTTTGGATGTGAACACTACATTCAGAGCAGGTGTATATAGGGCTTGTCCTGTAGATGGGCTGGGAGAGCTGCAGGCAGCAATAGCAACATCCCCAGTTTCACAGAGCAAAAACAAGCTTTGCTGGGAACACCAGGCTGTTAGACCTCAGTGTGAATTATGCATCTGCTGTATTTAGATAGAAGCAATTTTCCTGTTGAAATCAGAGGTTGGCATTTTCTTTCCCATGGGGTTCTGTAACTCAAAATTGTGTTGAGATCAAGCATGTAGCGGAGGCTTTTTTAGCTGTAAAGGTGAATGTATTCAGATTATTCAAGTGGTGATTTTTTGGATGTACAATTAGTTGAGTGAGAGATGTGGTATAAATTTGGTATTGTAATTGCTATGCCTCTGAGATTTCAATTTGCAAAACAGTTTGCATGGCTGCACGATTAACTGTTGTCTGTGCGATGAACATGTAGCAGAGCTGTGGTTTGATTGTGACTGTCAACTGGCTGTATGTCCAAAAAAAACACTTTGTCACAAGTACCTGATGTGAACTGACTGGTTGATTCTCATGCTGCTTCAGTTCAGTGGGTGGCTGAAAAAGGCCAGAGTCTAAAAAACTCACCTGTAAGTGCTGTTGGCATGAGAGGAGTTCCTTTCCCTGTGTTAACCAAATCAGGAAAAAGGAAGTTTAACACCCATTTTTTTCCTCTTTTAATATTTTGCATTATATTATTTCCTTCACTTGCATAGAGAAGCATGGGAATGACACTCAGCAGTGCTGCTGAGTGACTGGAGTGGGTGCAGAGAAATGGGGGTCTGCATGGACCAGGAACTGAGCCCTGCCCACCCAGTGCTGGCTGTGCCCTGGGAGCAGGCAGGAAGGCTGTCAGCAGTGACATGGGCAGTGCTGATGCAGCCCCAGGGCAAGGGATGGGCTGCCTGGCTGGCTTTCTGATGTTTTTCATGAGTCCCCATTTGGTTCACAGCTGCTGCTGTGTTTGGGTCTCCAGTGTTGTCTAGGAACATGTCAATGTAATTAGACACAGAACCAGAGAAACTGCTTGCTCTCACTTCACTGTGCCTTTCAGGTCTCCCTCCCAGGGTCCCAATTTATTTATTTTTGTCTCAGTGTTTATCTCTTCAAAATACCACTATGCCTTAGGTTGGTGATTGAACTGTAGAGACGCAGTAAATACTGAACTGGTGGCAGCTGTGACAGTGGGGAGGGAAGGGCTGGGGCCCCTCAGCAACTATATTATTACAATTTTTTTTAACATATATTAAAACATTCTTCTGCAAATAAAAGCAGAGGTACTGAAAAACACACACTTGTGTGGTGAGGAAGGCAGGTTTCTCTGTGTCACTACAGAGGGGCCCAATACCTTGGGGTGAGTCAGGGTGCAGGGATCAAGAAAACTGGGGTTCCATCAGCTCATTCCAGTTCTTCCCAGGTGTGCTGCGTGGCCTTTGGCAGGTCACTTCACTTCTGACGTGTGACACGGATGTGTGACAGAGCTCCTCTCCCTCCCAGTGTCTGAGGCTCAGCAGCGTTTGGTACAGCACCAGCACCAGCCTGCCCAGGGCCAGCAGCTGCCCTGGGGAATACGAATAACTGACCTCAGAGGGAGCAGACTGGGAGCTCAAAAAGCATATCAGGCACAAGTAAAGGATCTTCTCATTTGTGTCCTGCCACAGCAGTGGGGGAAAATGAGCGAAGCTGGCAAGGCATGGCTGAGGGAGCCAAGAGCTGCCTGAGGGAGCACCCTGAAGGGTCACTGGAGCCCCTTGGCTGGTGTGAGCAACACTGACAGCACACTTTGATTGCCTTCCTTGGGATGGGAATGGATAGTTGGGTTTTGCTGCTTGAACAAAGGAGAAGCTGTCTGAAGGTGTATCTTCCATCAGGGGATGGTGATGGCTGCTCAGAGATGGTGCTGCTCTGGGGTGGGTGTGAAGGGACCCCATTCTCCAGTGGTACTCCACAGGCAGGCTTATAGGGCAGCCAAAGATAGTTCCTCTGGCTCCTGGTCCCAGTGTTTGTCTCAGAGACAGCTTTTCAGTCCCACTGAGAGCCACCAGTGCTGGCAGGGGCTGTGAAGGGAAGGTCCCTGCTCTGGGATAGCCCAGTGCTGGCTGAGCCTCCCTGAACGATCACTGCTGCAGGACCCACACCCTCTGCAATCCAGCCCCTCATCAAGAGAGGCTTCTGGACACAATGGTGGGAGCTGTGACCCTTTTTCCCCAGGCCTGGCTCTGCCCAGACAGACAAACCAGGGCTGAGGCTGTCTGGTCACTTGTGCCAGTGTGTCAGGACCTGGAGGGAGGAGGGGCAGTGAGAGTGGTAGGCTGTGAGATGGAGGATTTTAATTACAGCCTCTAAGCAAAATGGCTCTATAAGTAAACAGAACAGAAATGTTACAGAATTAACTGTTAACAGAGATTTATTTTTCCTTAAAGTAGAAAAAATTCATCATGCACACTGTAAACACATACACAGAGGAGTGTTTTGTTTGGGAAACAAGTAATGAGACTTAGTTCCTTATCAGGAACTGAAGTGTTACAAAGCAAGTCTTTCCACCAGATAAGCTGTGGGAAGCTGGGGAGCTGGTTCTGTGATGCTGAGAAAAGCTCAGTTCTTACCCTGTGAACTCCTGGGGCATCACTGCAAAAAGCACTTTGTATTTATCACAACCCTGCTCCTTTGGAGGCCAGTTATAAAACTCCCACAGTTCTGCAGCCTGAAAGGGGCACTGGAAACTTCAAACTATACTGACAACTGAAATTTGGCATGAAATTTGGCTAGATAATTGGAGTTAGATAATTGAAGTTAGAAAATTGGAGTTATGGGCACAGTGAAATAGCAGTGTCACATCTTTGTGGGCTCTGAAGGCACTGGTCTGGATGCTGGAAAAGCTGGCATCATGTGCTGGGTGTTCCTTGGCCACAGAATCAGTCTGTCCCCAAAGATTCTGAGCCAGCTGTGAACACCCCTGGCAGTGGGGGCAATCCAGCTGTGAGCAGATGTGTGAACCCAGCCATGCTGGGAATGGTACGTGCCCCAGAAGGAAATACTCAGAGTGAGAGGAGGGCTATTCATGAGCAGAAATGAAGGGACCTCAGTAGGAGTAAACAGTGGGAAGTGCTTCACCCAAAGAGAAGTAATGGGATCCTTCTCTTGGAGAGCTCAGAGCTAGCACAAAGCCCTTAAAGCCTCCTGGAAGGACTAACCCTGCTCTGGCCAGAGAGGGATGGGACCAGCTGGTCTTTAACACCTCTAATTTGTCTCGAGCTGCCAAAGCCCTCCCTACAGATGCAGTTCGCTGCGAGACGTCACACACGGCTTCTCCTCGGAGCACAGCCACGCACAGCAGTTACCTGCTGCTGGAGCACCGCAGTGCTGACAGCACCTGTCCTCTCTTCTTCCTTTGGCAGGAAGGACAACGTGCCACTCTATAAATGCACTGCCCAGCGGGGCCCCGGGAACAGCCACGCTGCAGGCAAACCCGAGAAGAGGAGCCAGGCACACCTGAAGGACTCATCTCTTTCCACTCGCTGAGGAGAGGAGAGGAGAGGAGAGGAGAGGAGAGGAGAGGAGAGGAGAGGAGAGGAGAACTGTAGGGCACGGCAGAGGAACACGTCACAGTCAGGAATCGATGATGTTTCTCTTTTTTTTTTTTTTCCCAGACAAATATTTCTAAGATAACAAATAGTCCAAGGAGCAAAGAGGGAGAGGGAAATTAGCTAGAAATTTTACTATTGATTCTTTTTTATTTATAGATGGTGAATCAATTTCAGGGCTTTTTTTTTTTTTTTCCTATCTGTGGGGGGAAAAAAAAGAGTGAACTTATAGATTTGCAGAAATCATTTGTGGTGTCTGAAAAGCTATTTGTTAAAATGAGAAAGCCTCTCCTTCCTCCACCAGTCCCCTTCTCTCTCTTTAAAGGGGTAATCCATACAATGAGCTAATGAGGGAGTCCTGGCTTCTCTACTGCACCATCTGATGTCTCCCCTTTTAGTGTTGGGCTCAGAAGCCCTTATGCCTACTGCATGTGCTAGTCCTGTTAGCTTGCATGAAGAGAGCCTGATAAATAGCTTCTGGGAGCCAGGCAGGTGCTCCTCAGTGTGCAGTTTATCATCCACTGCATGGCTGGGTTTTTTGCTCTTCTATCAGATCATCTGAGGAGAGGGGTCATGTGAGAAATGGGACTGTCAGGCTGCAGGCATGAAACTTGCTGCGAGACCTGTCCAACAGGCAGGGACAGTGGTCCTCCATCAAAAACTGCTTGGGGTCTAGAAAGACCAAACTTGCTAACAGACTGAGGCAGTGTGAGTGAGGAATAGTTCTGAAAGGGGTGAACAGTGTTGTGTAAGAAACCCCAAGTAAAACCTCAGCACCTCCCCATTACATAGACAGCATGTGAAATCTCTGCTCAAAGCCACTGTCACAAGGCAATGTCTCCTGAAATGTGTGACTCTCTGAAACATCTGACCTTGATTCTCAAACTGGAGACAAAAAGAGGATGACCCAGAGTGGAGTCTGAATGTCTCCCAGGGGATGGAAAGGGAGAATGCACTTATAAGTGCTTCTTGTCAACCCATCAGAAGCCTTGGGAAGCAGCTTCTCTTCAGCCTTCTGCCAGGAGCTGGGCTGGAATGGTGGCTTGAGGGAGAGAAGGTGCCAAGACCCAGCAGGAAAGAGAGGGAAAGGATGAATGAGACTGAGGGTGAAAAAAGATGAGTGAAACATGACTGAATGAGCTCCTCTTGATGTGGGGTGGCCCCAAAGAAGTACTAACCCCAGACACTGTTCTCTAGTAAAAGAAATGTGTAGGTTGTCCCTCTCTTCTTTCCCAGGACAGGAATGCCATGATCTAGGAACAGAGTCAGGCTGAGCTGGGTCCCACATCCCACTGGACCTCCTGGGAGCCATTGGCACATGGTTTCCACCCAGTTTACATTACTGCAGCCAGAAAGAGTGAGCAGGTATGAGTAAGGACAAAAGCTTGGCTCTGCATGCCTCTGAAGAAGGACAAGCTACTCAGGATCTGCCAAAACTTGAGCTGAACTCATCTGTGCATTAGCCATCCATTAGCTGGGCTTTCCTTAGTTCCTGTCTGACAAGGGGAGCTCACTTGAAAGCAAGGAGGTATCCCACTGTAAGGAAAATTATTTAAAACACCAAGCAAACCTGCTACCGTCACTATTTCAAGGTGAGAGGGTTAAACTGTGTACATTTTTGGGGAGAATAAAATGCCTTCATATGATGAATTCCAAGGCATCCAAAAGGCACAGTGCTGGCTCTCTGTCTCCAAAAGCAGAGTAATGAATAGCAGTGACAGTGAGATAATTAAAATGACCTCTTGGAGATATGGATTAGAAGGTACGTGGAAGGGGGGATAAGTTCTCCTTTGAATTAATCTAGTGCTAATTTATGACTATCATTGGGTTTTATAATATTTTAGTGAAGATTTTCAAAGTTGGTTTACTGGAGTTAAAATGTTCTTTCCCGTGTTCATTGCAAAAACACTTGCAGAATTCCTTGTTATTTATTTTTGGATGTTACTATATATACATACATACATATATATATATAATGAGAGAGTTTCAATATTTGCTTAGCTGCTAGAAAGACTACTCTAGAAATATGAATAAAGTGAAAAAACCAGCTGTGGAATGAGTGTGTTGTTTCATTTCCATTTCTTCCTCCTCACAGGCTCCCAGATCACTTCAAAACAAAGACGGCTGGATTCTGGGAAGCCCTTGTGCTGCCCTGCTATTGGCTGTCACAGGCTCCCTCTGACAGTTTTTTAAGTTTAGATTTAATAACTGGATTTTCCTGAAAATCACTGTCTCCACTTCTTACTTGTCTTGTGCACAGGTATCTGCCCCACAGCCTGAAATCTGCAGGTCTTAAGATAGACCTAAAGTAGACTCATCTCTGCCAGAGATGCTGCCTTTCTGCTGAGACATTCCAACCTTTCAGTGGCACAGGAAGCACAGATTGGAGACAGTTACCCATATGGGGAATGATGACATCCCATTTGTCAAGTCCCATGGTGCTAACCTTCCCATCCTCTCCACCTGCCTAGCAATGCTGTAACATCCAAACATAAGGTTATCTGCCAAGAGCATCTGCCTTGCTCTTCAGCCAGGCAGCACGCCCGTCCTGGAACCCATCCTCCTCATCCTTGTTCCAGAATGTCTTGTTCAAGCTCTCTGCTCTTGCCTCCCATTTCCTTCCTCTTTCAGTTTGTCTCTGGCACCTTCTGGCCAAGCCACAGTTGCCAGCACCCAATTTTTCCAAGCTGAGATCCCAGTCACATCCCCTGAACCCCACAGGCAGAGCTGACTTTATAGTGCTTTACCCGCAGCTGCTTTCAGGGTTCTGCAATAAACTGTGGCTCTTGAAAGCTCTCCCTGACCAGTTGGGGATGGGAGTCTGAGCCTTTCTTTCACTGAGGGGTCTCTGCTACTTTGCCTGAGAGTTTACACATCCCATTTTTTGGGGAGACTAGCATGGGAGCTGAAAACAGGAGACCTTTTGTTCCCAGCCTCTAGTTCCCTTCCCTGCCATGCGAGTGTTGAAGTTCTCCTCCTCTACCTGCTTCAGAATCTACTCCTGGCTTGCCATTAGCCTCTTCTTCCTGGAGATGATCTGTGTCTCAGATGTAAGTAATTAATGTTGAACTCCCAACAGTAATTCCTTATTAGTCCCTTGTGTCAGGACCAAGGTAGGGTGACACCTGGGATGCTGATAGGTTCAGAAGCCAATATGGGTCCAAAACTAGGCTTTGATTTGGACAGAGTGGTATTTACTATTAAGAGCAAAGGCACATGTTTATCTGAACACAAGTGGAGGGCTTTTCTTGTGAGGAGACCAGTGGCCCATTGCAAAGCCCTGCCTGCCTCTTCACATTCCCTACTCTGGGAGCTGCAGGGCTCTCCCCTGGAGCAGTAGCAATGTATTTGCCTCCCTTCGTACAGGACTGTACGAAGGATGATGAATATTAAAATGCTGAAATTAACTTGTTTTCCATGCATTCTGCTCTCCTGACAAGAAAATCCCACTACAAACCCCTGCACGGGCAGTCTAACTGCAGTGAGTTAGACCCTCACTGTGAGGGGATTATATATTCTGATTGGGGCTGAGTTTGCAATTATTCTCTCTGCCACACCAAAGACCTTTACTGCATAGCTGCAAACCAGTTATAGGAACATGAAATGCTTTGACTTCTTCACTAGGGAAACATTAATCCAATCACAGGTTATGTCCATTACAGACTATGGCAATATTGTATACAGGAATTCCCAGGAGAAGATTCTACAAAAATTGGAATCTCTCTATAACCATGTTATGAGATTTACTGGTGTGGATAAAATGGGCAGAGTTAAAATTACCAGGCTGGCTATCTCTAAAAGACAGGTGAAGTCTGCTGGCTATCATTGCTTCGCAATATTACAAATGGAAAAGCCCTGAAGTAATTGAATAACACATCTGCTGAAAAAACCTGTGAACTGCTATAACCTAAAGATAGACTGCAAGGAAACAATGTAGGTACGGCACCCGGTTAAAAGGAAAAAGATGCTTTCCTTACCTGGTGCAGGAAGATATCACAAATGCAGGTACAGATTCTCTCTTTGCCTCCTAGATTACGTGTGTCTGTGTGTGTGTGCTCTATATATTTGTGTGTGTGTCCGTGTCTACCTACCTCTTTCTTTGCACATCAAAATAAGTTAAACCAGGTTCCTCAGGAGGCAGAGGAATAGTGCTGGATGGGAATGATACATAAGCAGTCCTCAGCCTGTTTCTTTTTCCACTGGAGGTTGCTGAAAAAGAATTGGCATGGCTGGCAAAGGAGCTGGTTTCCATCCCCTTAAAGTCTCTCTGTCCTTCTGCAGAAAAAGATTTCAAAGCACTTTGCCAGAGTTGATGGAAATTTTCCCTGTGCTTTAATATCAGTATTCAGTGATCTGTAACCACAGTTTAACAGCAAAGAGCAAGTTCCCTGGCTCCCTGCAAACCCAGGGCCCCAAGGATGGAGCTGCTGTGGCCGGGGCAGCACACAGCCCCCTCGGGGGGAGGATGGGCACAGCCTGGCCACTGCCTCAACACCGCCCTGCCAGTGCAGCCACATCACCTCCAGGCATGGACAGCACAGCCAGAGCAGCAGTGACTCTCAGAAGCTGAGTGACCCACCACGGCCCCATCCCTTCTCTGGAGGTGAGTGCTCTGGGGACCGGGCGTTCGTGGCGTGAGAGGGGATTCAGGATGGGCCGACGCCCCGCCTGTGGTTCTGCCTGGCATGGAGGAGCTCCTCTCATAACTCATGTTGCTCCCCATCTGGTGGCTCTGAGCAGAGATCCAAGGGCAGCTGACATGGATGCACTGCAGCAGCGTGGCTGTCAGGGGCTGTCACAGCTGCTCTGTATGGGGAGGTGTGATTTATTTCACATCTCATGCACCTCTCCATGGCAGAGCAGCACACATGGAAGGATGAAATGCTTTTGAGTGCATCTGGAGGGCTTTGAATCCTCCTGTGGAAGGAACACAGGGGA